CGGTCACTGAGCCCGTATTGGATTCACTTCTTAAGAAAATGCATGCCGCATAAGCTGTTTTACTGGCATCGACAAAAGTATGGATACTCAAACTGGATTCCTCCATCACGCCTAACCATCTGGGAATTTTTATATTTTTGAAGTATTTCAACTGCCTTCTTCCAAGTGGCTTGCAGCAAAATCTTAGGTTGAATCATAACAGGTGCCAAGAAACCTATGGGATCAAATACTCGACTAACCAGTGAAAGTATTTTCCTTTTAGTTATCTTTTCTTTTTCATCAAATTTCAAAGATTCTGAATCTATTTCTAAAGTATCAGAATTTTTGTAACAAATCAGTCCTAATACTAGTGATGTCGTACTTTCTGAAGGAATGGCGGAACTTTCCCATCCTCTGAGATCAAACATTCCTTCTTTCATTACATTAGTTGCAGATTCGAAGAATATTCTAAGTTCGGCATTTTTTTGTACACTAGTTACGCAATTATCGACATAAAAACTATCTTGTAATTTTTTAAGAAATTCTTCAGAGTAACGTTCTTTTACTGATTCTTTTAATAAATGGTAATTAATAACCGCCATTAAGAGAAAAGGACTGCTGGTGACTCCAAAAGCAACTCGAGCATGCCTGTAAGTTCGTGTATTACCCTCATTGTCATACCAAAGAAATCTTACGAAGTCTCGATCTTTTTCATGTAAAGATATTTGGAGAAAAGCTCTTACGATGTCTAAAATTACACCGATCGGTTTCAGTCTAAATCCAGCCAAAATAGCAGGAACTGATTCAATTAAATTGTTTCCAGTCTCTAAACAGTCGTTTAACGACGGATGGTTATTGATCTTAGCAGAAGCGTCGAAGACCGGTCTTATCTTCATTGAAGATGTTGCGGATGTTTCCTTGATGACAGGTCGGTGTGGAAGGTAATGGGTACGAACAGGTAACTCCTTTCCAGGAATTTCCTCAATAACTCCTTCCGCTAACCATTCTCTAAAGACTTCATGATATCTTTCTCTAAAACCGATCTTTTCCAACTTCCTGGTGGTAGATTCAAGTCTTTTTAAGCACAACTCATAACTGTCTGTTAGAAAGGCCCGATCCACTTTCCAAGGCATATGGACCTCGTATCTGCCATCTTCTTTTTGCCGGACTGTTTCTAGAAAGTGAGACATAACCGCCTTTTCTTTTTCCTCTCTTGAATTTTGCTCAATAGTATCCCGTATACCAAGCATTTCTAGATCCCACAGTGAAGAGACAGGAATATCTTCTTGAGATAACATAGTTACAATATTCATACTTGTATCCTTTTTGTCGGTATATCGGGGTACTTTACCCATTAAAGTCCAACCTAACTTGGTTTCTAATGCTACTAAGCCTGTCTTTAATTCTTCTCGTCGACCAGTAATTAATTTACCGGCTACGTCTGCACCCAAAAGTACCTCAATGGGACCTGTGTTTTCTTGAATATCTGTTAAGAATATGTTTTTAGTTTTCAATTCATGTATCCAAGAACCATTTTTTGCACTAGAAATGTCATTACAGATGACATTATGATCTAAAGCATCCAATTTACAAATATAGTTACCATCAAGACTACTCAAGTAGATTTTATAACACTTGTGTTTATACATCATTGTTTTAGTACCGCCAAATAAGGAATGGCGAAATTCCTCTTCCCTCTGCAAATTAAAACCCAACTCTTCAGCTGTAGATCTCAAAATATACGATTTTTGTGATCCGGTATCGATGATAGCCCTAGCTTTACGCTCTCTCTTGATGCCATGTACATTTACAACAAGAGTTTGTAATATAACTTCATTCGTTGCACGAGAATGTAACGAATCAACTGTGTTTTCATTAATATTTTTATCATTCACATCTTGTTTGAGAGAATCAGACTTATTACATTCAATATTTGGGCACATGAACTTTACATGTCTTTTAGAACACAACTGACAAGTTATTTGAGATCGACATCTAGAAGCAAGATGACCTTTAGCCAAACAAATTCGGCATAATCCTTTCCTTTTATTATTGCAATCTTTTCTTCTAATGGAATAAAAAATGCCCTTTTACAAAAGCGAACCGGATGATTCTTTAAACATAACACACATATTTCGTTTGGTTCATTAATGAATAATTCATTAGCAGACGGGAGTGAGCGTTGGCTCTCTGCCAACTGCTTGCATTCGCGCTGATAGGGAAATATGTCCGATCTACTTAATTTTATTTTTTCTTCTGATTGCATTTCGCTCTTTAGAAACGAAACGATAGAATCAAGTGTTGCAGTCTCATTATTTTTCTTTGTCTTTCAAATGAACGCAATATATGGGTCGGTAACGCACTTTCGACTAACGGATATAATATTATTCCGCACTGATTCGTGGTTATACCTAAACTACTTAAAGCCCGAAGTTGAGTAGAAAGTTTATTATACAAACCACTTAAAGAATCTTGTTTCTTTTTAGTAGCGTTATTTAAAACAAGTTTTAACAACTCTCGTACATAAAAATCAATTAATAATTCATTTCGTCCATATCTTTCAACTAAGCTTTCTATCGCCAAAGGATAGTTTTCATTTGTTATAGGAAAAGATTCAATAAGCTCTCTGGCTTCCGATTTAATTTTTGTCGATTGAACTAAGTAATGAAATTTATCACAATTAGTTAAATTTTTATTTTCGTGTATGTTTTTAAACTGATTCCAAAAGGTTAACCAGTCTTTTAATTCACCTCCAAATTTATACAGTTCAACTTCAGGAACTCGTGGGGTAATCGCTTTATACGGATTTTCGCAATCAGCCAAATGAGAATTATTACCGGAATTACTACCTTCGTTATTATTTTGTTTACTCTTAATATTCTCTAATACACGTTTAGACTTTAATTCTATTCTCAAAGCCTTTTCTCTATTCTTCTATAATATTAAATTCAATTTTGAATTCTGTTTCATCTGTTAAAGCATCCAAATAATTATTATGTGTTAACTCTAACGAGTTCGTTTTTTGCCTAAGCAAATGTAAACACATATCAATTTCTTCCGCGTCAGCGTTTTCATTTCTCAACACACTCTCTAACTTAGTGTATGCTTTCGTAAACGCAGTGCGCTGTGCTGTTTTATTTCGTTTAATAATTTCCATCTTTACTATCTTATTAAATCATTAAATCAGTTCATACATTCAATAATAAATATATGTTTATGTTCAAGATATAATTATATCAATAACTTCAAAATGGAAATTCAATTCGCTTACCGTTATCAAAATCCAAACCAAAACCCGCCCACCCGGGGGCGCCAGAATATAGTTTCTAATACTATTGTTCGTGAGAATAATGTAGGGGGTTTGATCCATAGACGACAACGATGAGAAGAGAACATCAACAAGATACATTTTAAATCAAAACAGCACAGCAAAACACAGTAAATTCTTTTCATCCATAACACTTTTCATCCATTACACTTTTCAAAACAAAACGTTTTTCTAACTGTTGCCACTCCCTCACAGAGAAACTTACCTCTCACGGATTTTGGATAGGGGCGCAACAGCTTGGGTATCAACGGAAAAAGAAAAAAAAAACAAATGGCTTTGGAATAAATCAAAATTCTGCTTAGCAAATACCGGAAATATAACAAACAAAGTAGTTATTCTATCAACATGCATAATTTGGACTGAAAATAAGTTCAGTGAAAAAACCGCTCGTGGGATAATTAGGTACAGGAAGGGAATCTAACTTCATAATATTGAAGGTTCGAATTATCAAGAGTTTTATCGGATAACTTCGAATTATCGCGTGTTGTAGTCTGGTAAACCACAAATTTTACTTCTTCGAAATATTGAGAGTACCAAAACGTATGGTTTTAGTTCGAAATATCAAGAGTTTTTCTAGGGGTTGAGCATATACTTCGAATTAGCGAGATGTTCGTATTATCGAAAGTTCGAATTATCGAGAGTCGACTGTATATGGTACTAAAGTTTTTCTTTCAGAACACATTATACGCAGTTTTTGTATTACTAGTGTTGTAATACGTATTTAACAACCCAAAAGGATATTATATGAGCCTATTATGTTTGTAATACATTCCACAAATCTATTATAGTAAGAATATAGTCTACGATAAATATTATTTTTAGAGTATTTTATACGATATGGCTTAACTATGAATGTGTCGCATTTATTTTAAGCAGATTAAGTTTCATACACTTACGATTTTATTTTAAAATCAAGAGACAATCAAACGTTATTTTATGTAACGTAAATTCCGAAGTATAACAAGGACTTTTTTAACACAAAAAATAAGATCAAAATTTAAGGGTACACGTAATACGTCGGATATAAAAATGATTACTTCAAAATAATTATAAAAAACTATGAGAGCATAAAAAAATTAGACTTCTGCAAAGATCAGAATACTATTTATTTAAAAGAAATGACATACCTCATGAGCTTTAAGGGTTTTAGTTCTAAAAGGACGCCATTTTTTCAAAATCCTTTTAAAATACCTGGAATAAATGTTTCAAAACATAATAACACTTCATATGTACATTACAGTTCCTTCTTAAATAAGTAATGTAAAGAAAAATATTAAGTCAATTCCTGTTGTTGTTTCTAATGCCACCTGTCTGACGTAGTCAGATCGAGGCCCAAGAAATTCATCGTGGCAAGGGGCTAGAAGTACGCCTGTCGTTGGCCTTGACCACCATACAGGTGACAGTAGAAATTCCGAGTCAATTCCTACTGAGGTAAACAAAGAAAATTTTTATTTTAGTTACTTTTTGTTAAATAATTACAATTAACATAAATATGTATATACATGTGGCAGAGTCACAATATTAAGTGGTAAAATAGAAAGCGATTTTCTTTGCAATTTTCCATTTTCCTTTCTATATAAGGTGTTGGACTATTTGTGTGTGTGTGTGTTTGTTACTATTTATTATTTAATTAAATTTCATTATTCAAATAAAACTGTATAGTAAGATGAAATAACATTTTCAGAAACTAAGCCATCCCAGATGGGATTCAAACCCATGACCTTTGAATTTGAAGTCCAATGCATTATCCATTGCGCAACAGAAACGCAATGAGCGGTTTTCTTTTCTATATTTGATTTTGGACTATTATTTTTGTTTGTTACTATTTAGTAATTAATTTAAATAAATAAGTTAATTAATATTTGAAAAAACTGTATTAACATCAAGTGTCATCCACTATAAGTTTAAAAAATGTATTTGAACTTGAGTGGATGAATAAAAAGTATTTTATTAACGGTTGAAAACTTGAACAAGATAGATATACATAGGGAGAATGTGAACTATAATAGTAGCAACTGAAAAAGGGAATGAGCGTTAAACGCGGAATATACCTAAGAATTAAAAAAATGCTGCTTGAAAGTATAGGTGCGTGGTATACGCCGGATTTTACGGTATTTATATATTTCAACAACGACATTTCTTTCGATGTAAGAATATCCAGCTAAAAGATTAACGAAATTATTTGAATTCTACCATTTATTTGAGTATTACAAATAATATTTTTAAGGTTTTTCAATGAATTAATGATTTTAATTTTTAAATCTATACTTGGTATTATAAAATTAAGAATAACATAAGGTGATTAATGTTTTGTGACTAGTTGAAATATTAGAATTGGTGAACTTAAAATACTTCATAAACTGAGAAATATATAATTAACTTATGAGTTCTTTTGGAAAGTAATTTATAAACGCACACACCTCGATGATTTTCTGAAAAAATTTATATAGGTATTTCATTAATATAAATTTTCTTAATGTTTTGAAAAAACCTCAGATCATTAATATTTATTCGAAACTATAAAAAAACTCATGAAGTAAGCTTTGAAAAATATATTTAAGTGATGAGTAATTTAGATGAAGAAAAAAAAATGTTTATAAAGTTAAATTAATGCAGAAAAGAATACCCAGGGAACAAAAATAGTTTTGCTCATTTTCATAATTAGAAGACTTCTACGCAAATCCTTTACAAAATTAAAAAAAAAAACTTGAGTGCTAGACATTAAATTTTGTAGTTTGCAGCAAAGACGCTTGCAAATGAGCTATGTTTGCTATCTGCGTGGTAATGTAGGAAGATGTATGTATTCAAGAATAAGATTAATTTATTCTTCTTTATATCTCATCCGTGGAGAACAGTGAATATTTTTTTCGTACATATTTTTCTTAGAGATTTTCGTATTTTTTATACATATTCTTAAGGGGACTTGGTACCCTAAAAATCACAAACCTATCGTTTTTTTTATTTTCATTTAATCTTATTCTTTGCATTATTATCTTTCGATTGATATATCACTTGTGCATGTCGGAAAGTTAGAAGTTGAATAAAACTTCATTTGAAAACAAATTAGGCAATTCAGCCACACCCCTTTTAGAAAAAAAAAGCTAAAAATGCGTTATGATAAAAAAATCTATTTTATAAATAGAAATAATAACTATAAAAAAGAATGTGTAGTATTAAAAGCAGAATATTTCCGAGGCAATACAATAATGTAATTTTTCTTCCTTGTGAAATGTGTGCATGTAAAATTTTTAAATTAAGGCATTTTATATTAATAATTTTATATAATTTCAGTTCTTATTCCTGATATATTTTTCATACAAATGTAATACTTTAACATTATAAGAAGAAAAACAGCTAAAATTTCTGTCGTGACAGAAATTTTTTTTTTAAAGTTTTTCTTGAGTTTTCTTGTGCAATTAGTACTCTCTTAAAGTTGATCATTTATAAAAATGTGTGGGTTGAAAACATATGAAAATGCAATTATTTTAAAGAAAAACGTATAAGTAATATCTTAAAGTGGTATTTTAAGTTTAATTAAGCTTATAATAATTATTTTTTCAGAATTATAAACTTTAAAATCAGTTTGTGTTTTTCGAAACCTTAGTGCATTCAAAATGCTACTCCTTCGACAATTATTTACCAATCACTTCAATTTTTTTCCTGCGTGTTAAAAATAAAGCATGTAATAAAATTAAGGATCCGTTTTGCTATAAACTGAATACTTTTTTAAAAAAAAAATAAAATGTAAGATATGTTGGCTTTTTCGTTGATTTTTAGCCTGTATATCAACATTTTATTTTTTTTCTCGAAAACGAATGAAGTTATTCTAAAATCGATCCCTAAAGTTGTTAAGAACATCCATAAGAAAATTATAAAAAAATTTCAGGTCAAAAAATTTAATTTTTACAAAAGGAGTAGGATTTTAAAAGTTTCCCAATTTTCTTAAAAAAAAATTAAAATTTTAAAAATTGTGTGAATAATATATGAAAATTTTCATCTGGTAACATTTTCTTGAATAGAAACATTGTATAAAATGTTAAAATATAATTTTTAAATACGTAAATAAAGAAGTTTGCTCAAAGGGTGCCAAGTCCCCTTAAGTGGATGATTTTTTTTCTCCTTCATTTCATGTATTGACATTTACCATTCTTGTTTACACCGGATGAGCTTTATAAGGATGTAAAATAAAAGAGGGAAAACAGTTGAATATGGCAAAAAGAGAAAAATAGCTCCAAAGCGCGCGCGCGCGTTGGCTCTAATATCTAACTTTTCCAACTTATTAAAATTATAAGCAAAAGACATTAAAATATATTTTGCAAAAAAAAATATGATAAATATTTTTTATACAAAAGATACACCCTTTTTGAATAGTTAATTAGAAGGCTAATATTTTCCTTATGAATCTAATATTTTTATAAAGCCTAAACTACACATTTTCGAATATTATGAAAAAATCTCGGGGATTTAGTTTATTTCTATGCCCAAACGATATCACGGCTGTGGATTGAAAAGATCCTTTCCAAGCCAAAGAGGAGAATATTCTGTTAATGAAATAGAGAAGCGGTTCTTAAACTAAGGTCCGTGCACCCCTGGGGATCCGTGGAGTCTCTCATGTTACATTGAGATTTCCCTCTTTTACAGGCCCTGAAAGGCTTCGTGGAAAAATTGAAAGATGTGTCATCTTAGAATAGATCACTAATTTGCCTTAAATGAAAAAACTCAACTAGAACAAATACAGTCGAACCGCCATTTTACGAACCTCTATATTGCGAATTTTTCCGTATAGCGAACGTTTTCCTGGAATCAAGAACATTTCACGATTTTTTTCGTAAAATAACCTCCCAATAACGAAGTGTATTTTCTATATAACGAACTTTTTCTCTTGTGGTCAAATTTTTTTTACTCCCTATTGTTAAAGTATTTCTGGACATTTCAAGTTATTCTCTCTTTTACCACATTTTATGGTCGCCATAAATCTTTAACTGGTTTTATTAAGTGCCTTACTCGGCGAGAACAAAAGGATTTTGGGCATTTCATCCAAGAAGTACAACCTTTAACCCCAACTGTCAAGTTCACTGGAAACATCTTTGATATTCCCTTTCACCCTCAGGGGAGACACGTGTCCTTGAACTAGTCTCCGTTAATTTGTAGAGTTGATCAATCGTACTGATAAATTCGTTTCTTGCTTAAAAATGTCAAAACGTAAGTGCTTGAGCATCAAAGAAAAAAAATTTAACGCTTCAGGAAGTGGATAAAGGCGTCAAGAAACTTTTCTTGCGGTTTTTCTTCCTTTCTTTGATAGATAAGATATATAAAATAAATATATATTAATTTACAAAAAAGGTGGGAATAATTACTTTATTTAATACATAGTATCTATGAATTAAAAATTTGTTTTTTGTGGTTTATAAAGAAAATTGAAATATGAACACCTATAGAACGAATTTTCCATGTAACGAACTTTTTTTTTGGGGGGCGGGATATAGCGATTTCGTTATATGGAGGTCCGACTGTATTTCGATGAAGAATATTAATTCAGTTCTTTTATTGTTTGTAACTCCATGGGCATTACTATTACGTAATATTTTCAAAAAGTAGTAGAAACCATCTGGAAAGAGCAGAACTGATATAAGTGAAGTGATACAACAGCACTCTCTTGTAAATATATAACATCCTTCTCATTAAAATTTTTAATTTACTCAGTGAAGTATATTATTTGTTTGAAATTAGTGTTTTGTAATATGTTTATATGTACATAATTAGACGTTTGCTGTTTTTCTTAAAGGTAAAAAAAGTGTTAAGAAGGACTGTAAATAAGTAGCAGAGGCAGCCTTAGGATTATTGAGGAACCATTAAATCACTCAGCCATATGTTGGAAGTCAGGAAGGGGTTTTTAAAATCTTGTGGGTTCGCGATGTCAGACTAATTCATAAAGGGGAGGGGCTGCGGTGATCTAACTATCGACTCACGGAGCCATTAAGACTATAAGGTGTTTCTGAGGAATCCAATCTAAAAGAAAAAAGTTTTTGAAGAATATATCTTAAAATAATGCTTAAAATAGATCAACATGCTGTGTGTGTGTGTGTAGCTACTTTAAATAAAGACAATTTAAGGTATCCGACTACGTTCGGAACCGTGATTTTTAAAAAGGCGCATAAATGGATAATTTTCATGATATTTAGTGTCACTTAGATTATAATATATGCATAAAATTGTTTTAAGGACATTTTGATAAAAAATTTATTTAAATATAATACTTTGGCAAAAAATTAACTTAGAATAATCTTTTTCCCAAATGTTCTTCTTTTATAAAAAAATCTGCTAAAATAATAATATTTCTCTTATATAAAGTAAAGACTTTTCCAGAGAGTCTGAAGTAGGATTTTTGAAAAATTCACATTATTTTCAGAGTTACCACAAATTGAAATAATTATCGGCGTTTTTTTCTTAAAATTGCTCCTCTCTGTTGTCGTAAAATATGAATAAACCCACTTCTAAGTTATATATTTCAAAAATTCTAGTTGAGCCTCTGAAGAGAGGTCTGAGCTATATACAGGTAAAATATTATAATAGAAGCATTTTTCACAAAAGGAGAACATTTGGGAAAAAGATTATTCTTTTGCCAAAATATTATATTTAAATAATTTTTTTTGTCAAAATGTCCTTAAAACAATTTTATGCATGTATTCTAATCTGAGTGACACAATATATCATGAAAATTATCCATTTATGCGCTTTTGCAAAATCGCGGTTCCGAATGTAGTCG